GAGTTGGTGTTTGATGCAGCGTTGTTGGCAATGTGAATATCGTGTCCTCCTCCAAATGTTGGTCCATAGTTAGAGCAGCTGTAAATGGAATATGTTCTCCGATAACTATACTGTCCTGTTTGATCTAGCTTTAGTGGTTGCCAAGCAGGCTTGTTAACCAATGAGAAGAGAAAGGCTGCTGAATCGTAGTACCATGAACAACCACCTAATTTGAAATACACAATGGAAAAAGAAGTCCAACATTAATTAAACAGTTTAGTAATGAAGTATTATCGACAACGATAATTTGAGTGGCTCACAAAATTTGACTATTATTCATAGCTCGGTATTATTTCTTTTAGTGTTAATCTTAAGTTATCTGGTTCCGGTATGTTAAATGTTCTCTGAGTTTTTAATAATTCCAATTCTGGGAAAAGCAAGCCCGGTGGGAGACTGGAAACAGATGCCCCGATTTCAGACCGAACATGAGTTTCATGCCCTATTTTATAAATTTCATAAAATTAATATCGAGCTGTAAAGCTGTCACTTAGCCAGGAACACCAAGGCGTTTTTGAAAAATGCAAGTGTTTCTATCGGCCTGTTTATCTCGATGAGTTATCCAGAAAATTCTTATTATCGTTGACTTATTTGCCTTTCTTTGGTATTACCCTTTTTTGTTTCCATGATTAATGATTTGAAGGAGTTGTACCGCTTCCTATAAAGTTCTTCCCTCCCGATATCCCCCTAAAACCGTCACGAATCAGAAAAGAGATGTGTAAACACAGCAAGTAAAATTTTAATACAGCATGGAAGTGAGAAAAGGCATTTGATTAAGCATTTTCTAGCACTTAACTATCCCACATCATATTGTAAATATTTCGTTTTTAAAATTCTTTTTAAAACTCTTTTCCCATATTTCTCCGTGACCGCTATTGCGAAATATGATCATGGCTGACCCACAGCTTGCGCTTGGGTTGCCTGTTATAAGATGAAACTGATCATGTCACTTACTCCATGAGAGACTTGTGTATCCTCCAAAAATATGTTTTCCAACACGAATGATTGTGACGGATGGACCTTTGCCGTCACACTTTGAATGGAAGGTAGAGGATGACCAGCCGTTCACAGTTGCCTGGTAACAGCGATTCCAGTAAGAAGATTGGCGAGTCACAGGCTTTAACCATTTGTCCAGCCATGTCAAAAAATTCTGGCTGTTTCCCACAATGCTGGAATATTTAAGACCCGCTGGAAAAATAACATATAAGAACGTTCTTTGGATCCTTTAATTTTTTACAGTAAAACCAGTGAGCAGCACGTCTGCGAACTACTTGAGTTGTAAAACTTTTTTATTTTCTCCTACGCGT